GATACCCCAGCAAAAAACTAAAAATTTTTGAACGTCACCAAAAGTGTCGTTACAATTGGCGCCCGAGCAGGGACGTTGTTTTAGAAAAGAACGAACGTTGAACAGGGACCGTGTTTTAGAAAAGAACGAACTAGGAACAGGACGAATAAGTGTACAAACGTTTAACGCAAAGAGTCATTAGACGGTACACGAGGTAACATGGTCAAGACGGCATGGATTTCGATAGCGCGTAAAGAGGATTTGGTTCTAATTCTAGAAGAAATTAAGATCAGTACATCAGGAACCGTTGAGGAACTACGGAAACGTGTACGTGATCATCTAGCAACTGAGGAGTACACGGAAAAATTACTAGATATAATTATGGACATGGAAACTAAATACGATCGCAGTCTCTCACCCAAACCTCCAGGCATCGAAATCGACACGCCAAAAATACACATTTCAGAGCCAACCATGATGACTAGCAAATTTGAAGACATAGCGCGAATCGCCAATCAAGTGCGTAATTGGGAGGTACATTTTAATGGTGAAATAAGTCCATTACCATTTTTGGAAAATTTGGAAACACTCTCCGAAACTTATAACATTCCCCGAGACATTCTGCCAAGACTTATGCCAGAAATACTGAAAGGAAAAGCCCTAATGTGGTTCCGGAATAACAATCGGAAGTGGACACACTGGTCAAGTTTTGTTCAGGATGTTCGAGAGTTTTTCTTGCCTTCTAATTATTTAGAGCAATTAGAAGACACAATTCGGAACAAATACCAGAAGAAGACGGAGTCATTCCAAGACTATGCCCTGGCACTACAAGAATTGATGCGATATGCTGAGTTAACCAGGGGACAACAGTTAAGTCGGATTTACCGTAATAGTAGACCAGAGTATCAGCTCCAGATCAAACCACGTGAATTTAGCTCCTTGGAAGAATTAATCAAACTAGCAGGAGAATTCGAACGTCTTGCACAACTAAGTAGTAGAGAACGCCAATGCACTCCTGATTGGACACCACCGATTGCCGTTAACAGAACACAGATCGAAAAGGTGGACGTGCGTAATGTTTGTCATAGATGTGGGGAAAGAAATCATTTTGCACGAGAATGCACCAAGCCTAGGAGACTTTTTTGCTGGATTTGTGGTACTATAGGCCGTCGAACGATCGAGTGCTGCAGGGAAAATCCAACATACAGAAATCATCAGAGGCCATCGGGAAACGCTTTGGGGGTTGTCACGCCAGGCGGAATGACAACCACCCAATCATCTTTACCCGTCAAATTAGAATCTAGTCACCCAAAACTGATGCAAGAAAGTATGGTCCAAAATCAAAGCATTAAATCGAATCATCATATCCAACTGAGGAGTAACCAGCAACCGATTCCACCAGTCGCAAAACAAGCAACAGCAATTAGTAGGCCAATAACAAATATACTACCAACACTAAATATGCCACACCAAAGTAATTCACAATCACACTTAGTACCATTACAGGAAAAACCACACAAGGAGGCAGTTCATAAATGCATCGTAACTCCTCCACAGAGTTCAACGTCTCATAGGGAAAGTCCAGAAGTAGGTTATCAACAAGCATATGCACAACAGTCACTAGTTAACTACAATCAGAATACGCAACCACGAGAGCAAAAGCATCAAATCGAAGAGCATGACTTATCATCACGTCCAGCACTGCCACAACGTTTAATGATAGTACCGGAGTCATCACATGTCAATCATCCAGTACTACCAACTTCTACAAGTTCAGAATCATCATCGCAAACGCCACAGGAGCATTCACAAGGTAATTTTAAATCATCATCGCAAAAGCCACAGGGGCATTCACAAGGTAATTTTAAATCATCATCGCAAACGCCACAGGGGCATTCACAAGGTAATTTTAAATCATCATCGCAAACGTCACATAATCATTCGCAAGGTAATTTCAAATCATCGTTACAACCAAAAGAACTTGAGCCACAGCCGCCATCTTCGGTTAATCAGCCACAGTCACCACGAGGAGCACCACCAAGAGATAATCACCAATCTGGTCAACCATCATCTTCGTCATCAACTACATCGCTACAGAGGAATTCTACTATAATACAGCCAGTATCGGATAATCGTCATGTACAACTTACAAATTCATTAGGTCCATTAGTTATCAATGTTTCAGATAGTAAACTTAACACGGAACTACCAAGCCAAGGAACTCAAGCAAAGGATAAAGTCAAGCATGACAGTCAACAAGAAACATGGTCACCACAAGAGGAATTGAATGTCAGTCAACCAAGCACAAAAGGAAACAAACCAGAGATTTTCGTACAACGTCTAGGTACATTTAAACGAAAGGATGACCATCATCAGGTCAGCAACCAAGATGAGTATTACAAAATTTTCAAGTGTCCAAAGATTAGAAAGAGAAATCGAGCCTCGTTCTAAAAGGAATATTAGTAACACAAGTATTAGCATGTATCATATGGAAAATAAGGGATAAATGGAAAATTAGAAATATCAAGTGCAAATTAGCCGAAGAGGGGTCATCAACGTATCATTAAAATAAAGTTTTAGTTTAATTTCTGTTCTGAAGAAGGAGGGAAATGTAACGACACAAATTTACAAAGTAAATTTCTGTGCTACATAAAACAAGAAGCAGAGAAAAACACAGTCTGTGTGTTAAATAACCGCCACCACTACACATAATATATCTAACAACTCACATGAAAATCACTGAAGGCGACTTAACTGGAAAATATAAAATTGAATTAAAATATTTATTTGAAATATCATGGACATTACCTGTGATCCTCGATGCCAATGTGCCGCGGGCATCGCTACATGAAATGTGCAAATTCTAAAAATATACGAAAAACAAAATCAACGTTTGGTTAAAACTTTTATGAATGGAACACTTATAAACGCAACAACAATGAACAATTATCGGCGAAACATGTGTAAATTTTAAACAAATGTCTATTTTTCTACAAGTATATAGAAATAAAACAAAACACAAAACAATGTAACTCTTATCACAGAAAACACGTTTAATTATTGAACAAAGGTCTATTTGAAATATATATAAATAAAATAATACACAAAACAATTTAACACTCATGTTTGTACAATTTTATTTTTATAAACAAAACACAACAAAACAAAACTAAGCACGCCAACATCAATTTTATTTCTTTTAATATTTCTTTTCTGTTCACATTTAGATAATATTAAATTCACAGAATATATATGCATATTTAATACCTTGTTTTGTAGTATTAAAACACTTTATTTTTAATATAATAATATTTAATATAATATAAACTAAAAAGGAATAACACACGAAATAAATAAACACGGCGCGTAGTAAAAGTACTAAAAAAATCACGGCGAAGCAGAAGAAGTGAGAAAACAGTAGAACACAAAGTTCAACTTCACGGCGAAGTCAAGTACAGCAAAGAATACCGGTACGCTACACCAAAAAGCTCCGGTATGCTCGATATAAAAGGAGGTACATTTTATATAATCAGGGACTTGGTTTGCGACAAGTGAAAGAGCAAGTACTCTGGCTCATTGGGCCTTCTGGTAAATTTTACCAAACTTGGAATTTTACTTTTCCTGAAACAAGTACACTGGCCTATTGGTCATCTGGCACATTGTGCCACAAATCTGGCTCTTTGAGTCAAACATAGTGTAAAATTCCTTTCCTGTCTTATATGTTTATTTTTTTTTTAACCTGGCTTATTCGGTCAAATAGTTTTTTACAGCACGGAGGAAACGTTTTGTTTATTTTTTTAACAACAGAAGAGGGGCTTAAGAAGTCACACGGGTTTTGCTAAGATTCTTTTAACAAGGAATATATGGAGAAGTGGGAAATTTTGGCATCAACATAATTTTTTTTTATTTATTATTAGAAATGTTTCCAATGAATTTTAATTAAACTTTGTTAATCATAAGTTTATGAAATAATAAAGTTATATATATAATTTATACATATAAATCACGTTCTGTTTTCTTCTAAAACCCACGTCTCGGCAAAATTATAAATATATTGTCACGACTCTGGACGACGGCTGAGGATACCCCAGCAAAAAACTAAAAATTTTTGAACGTCACCAAAAGTGTCGTTACAGCTGCCAAACTACATAAACTTAAAATATCGAAAAATATACAGCGCGCGAATTTTAAATGAGAATTTCCGAAAACTTTTCGGTCTTAATGTAAGTAGTACCAAATAAATCTAAGACCATTGAAAAATCAAAACTCAAAATTAAATTTCACAAATTGTTATTATTAATTTTTTAATTTAAATATCGAGTTGTTTCATTTGTTTTGAAATAAAATATACCCTGTGTTTGTTCAGTTTCTAAAGGACCTCCCAGAGTTATATTTGTACGTGTTTTGCATCCTTTTCTCTTCTTAATTTCATTGAAACTCTCGCACCTGTATATTGGTACTAATAAATTTCCTTTAACGGCTCTTTCATAGAATTTAACACTTCGTGAATGTGAACAGAACCCCATAGCTTCTACACCACATCCTGGCTGCTTTGAGCCCCAATTTGGATAAAATGATGCTTTTCCAATTGGATTTAAAAAACCATATGTGTCGGTACCCGTGTGTACTGTTAGTACATAACGTGCATCAGTAGCTGCCAAACGTTTTGTCGGTGGTTGATTTTCAAAAAATAAATTTGCCGGATCTAATCCCACTATTGCTGCTAGTTTATCACTCTTAATTAATTTACCACACAAGCCTGCGATATGTGCGCCCACACTATGTCCAATTAACACTGTTTTATTATAATCCAAGCGAAATTTTTTATGAAGAAACTCTAAGAAATCCGCTAAAATTTGACTTAGTGCCGGTACGTGAGGGTATGATACAGGGTAAGCATTTTTGGCATAACGTCCCCAGTCAACCGCTATTATATTATACTTTCCTTTAGGAAAATACGCATTTCGAACGTTAGGATTTGGTTCGTCTTTATAATTATTAAACCATCCATGTATTACTATTCTAAATTAAAAATATATTTTTTATACAAATTTATGTGTGTGAAATGTTAAAACTGTACTTACTTGGTTTGTAAGTTCGAATCGAACTTTGAACGTCTGACTGAGTTTTCATCATTGAGAAATAATTCCTCTGGATGATCTACAGTATCCCTGGTGTATAAATAATATTTCAAGACATCAGCAAAACCTAAGGAAGCTATTTAATTAAATAAATACTTAGTAGGTTTTTTTTTAATTTCTTAATAATTAAAACTTACAAATTGTTATTAACAAATAACATGTTTTTAGAGTAATCATATTAAACGTTTTACAGCAATCGAGTAAAAGTGAAATAAAGTCACGGAACCATTCATGATCGGTTTTTATAGATTTTTCACTCTGGATTGATAAGAACTATAATAGTGTTTATATTAATAACATACAAAACTTTACATGATATAACATGTAAAGATCTTATCGTTTACTTTTAAATAACTGTTAAACCTAACCTATAATTTTAGGTTAGGTTTAGGTTATAACTTTTATAGAGAATAGTGCGATTGCTAATCAATAAATATTTAGAAAGATGTAACAATTTATTTTTTGTTATTTTATTAATTCATATTTATTTCTCAATATACTCGTCTTTCATTTCAATGCATTTGACACAAAAATTCTCTCTAATGTTTTGAAGGCGATATAATTTATCCAGCCCTTCAAAATAAATTACTTTTTCATTTTTTGGGTGTTCTGTTATGTTAAGGTTTTACCACTTCTCCGGTTTGATTATAAGAAATACTTATAATTACTTTGCTAAATCTGTCAAATATATCTAATGAGTTCAAGTCTACATACCGAACGTTATTAGTAGTTTTCTTCTATTAACTATACATAATATAAATTATACCACCTACATTCTAAATGGTACCGTTTCCGCTTTCTTTGGATGTGATTCACAATATAAAACCATTTTTATAATTAATTTGCCCAACCTCAAAGTAAATCACTCTGTCATTTCTTCGGTACTCCCTTATTATAAATCTCTTTCATCTGAACCATTTCTTTAGATTTGGATTTAACTTTTTATTAGAGTCTGATGCAGTCTCTTTAATTATAACATTTCTTAAAAAATTGTTAACTCCATCATATGAATAGTTGAGTTCTTCAATTATGTCAAAAGTGAATAGTTTTCATAGTTTCTTCACATAATGTCATGATATTTTATGTCATATGTCATAAATATAAAAAGAACCTATACAAAGAAACGATATTCCTCTTAAATATAAAAAAGACCGAAACTTTGATTAACTTCGGGAATACTAGAACTACATATATGGTATGTAGAAGAAGTGGCTATATATTGGCAAAATCTAAACATCTGATCACCTGTTCAAGATAACAGTCTTCTTAGAGATTCTACATAATACTAACTGCCTACTAACAAAAATTTGGTTCAACCGAGATTTACAGAATTATCTAGCTATTAGTATATTACTCTTCCACTTAAAATAATAAAAAAAGAAATTATAAAAGCTATAAGTATTTTAATTTTATTTTAGAA